GCACGCGGGCAATCGTGGTCTTCGAGCCATCCGAAGCCGGGACCCTTAACCGCTTCCCGGAGGTCGGATTCCATCGCGGTAAGCTGGAGCGTAGCGTAGTCGTCCGGGGCCTGCCCAGGGCCCGGGTCGCCCGCCGCTCGCGAGCCGCTGCCGCGGCCACGGCCCTTTTCCTTCTGGGAGTCAGGGGCAGCAGGGGGCGACGTGTCCTCGCCGACCTTCTCGGCCTCGGCTGCCTTGGCTTGCGAGCGCAGTTGCGCAATCATCCCATCCACCTGTTTGGGGTCGATCCGGGGCGTCCCAAGGAGCCCCCCGCGCCTCGTGAGCTGCATGACTACCGTGTAGTCCAGCCCGCGCGTTGACTTGATGGGGTCATGGGAGTTAGGGCAGTCGCAAGCCTTCCGCGAGCAGCCCATGTGCGTGGTGGCCCCCCCAGCAGATAGGGACGTTGTCCTTATTGCGGGGCGCATGCGCCACGGAGCGCGTACGCTCCTGGCGTGTTAACTCCTTGCCCGCTGGGTACGCCCTCTTGGGGGCCGCCCCCGCTGGGGCCCCGGTGTCCGTCTTGGGTCCCGCCTTCGGCTGGGGCCCAGCCCCCGCCTTGGGCCTGTCATCACCCTGCGCCGAGGGCCGGGGCTCGCCCATTTCCTCGCCCCCTCCCGCCTTTGGCGGTCGCTTCGTGAGGTGGGCGTTCAGCTGCCCATTGAGGAGGCGCGTGAGCGCGGCCTTACGCCGGGGCACAACTACCTGCTGGTAGTAGGCATTCGGATCCCCGAGGTCGAACGTTCGGGGCAGGTCGTAGCCGTTCTCCGGCATGAGCAGGATGTACTTGATGTCCTCCCTCCTTGGGTTCTCGGTGTCGAGCTCCCGGCAGAGCCGACGCCTGAGCTCCCGTAGCTCCTCGACCCAGGTGCTCCGGAGCTCTTCCCACAGATCCTTGACCCAATGGTCTGGGAACTCCGAGGGATCCCTCTCGAAGGCCGCCTCCAAGAAACCTAGCGACCGCCGACGCTCTGCCCCGTGTGCGACTCCCACGATGGACTCGAACATCTGGATCTCGCACCGGGCCCTCTTGAACCAGGTCGCCATGTGGGTGGCGGGCCGCTGGTGGGGCTCCAGTTTGTCGTCCACAGGGAGCCTGTAGCCGTCGAAGTCCTCGTCACGCGCGGGGATGCAGTCGTCCACTGCCAGGTCGTGTGGACCCGTCCCGAAGGCGAGCGCCGCGTAGCCGTGCGCCACGCGGTTGGTAACCAGGCAGGGAAACCCGATCGTCTTGAGCGTGCTCTTGGAGTGCGCACACATGCGCTTGAGGGAGTCGAACAGATCCTTCCCCGTGATCCCCTCGCAGGCCTCAACCACGAAGGTGTTGCATCCCCTGGCTATGTAGAGGTCCAGTTCCTCGTCTCGACCGATCCCCGCCCGGGTGCCCCGGGCCTTCTTGTCGCCCTCGGTGGCCCGCGCCTGCCGCTCGGCGGCGAGGACGTGGCGTTCGGTGAGGCGGTTCTGGCGATCCAGACGCTCGATGATCTGGGCTTCGGCCTCGGCTGTAATGCCGCCCAGGGCCCCAGCCGCCCCGGCGTCGTCCGGACCACCGGCTCGCTCCCCACCCAGACCACCCTCGTGGGGCGTCTGGCCAGTGAGGTGCCCAAGGACCGAAGGTCCGTCGAGGAGCGGATTGGTCCCGCGAGCGGGGCCCCCGCGTCCATCGCGCGCCAGTAGGCCCCGATCGCCCAGCAAGCCACGACGCGGGCCCGTGGGTTGGACGGGGGGCATGGCCCCGAAGAGCTCGCGCCGGGGTGCCTGCCTCGGGCTGGGATCCCGTCCCCGCGCCGAGCGGCTCCGCGAGTCCTCGCGTGAGAGGCTGCCCTGCAGGGGAACCTTGTCGCTGGCCGCAGCACGCTCTCGCGCGCGCGCTTCCAGCTGCGCATCCTCCAAATCCGCGAGGGCGCGCTCCAGATCGGGCCCCGGGGGGCCCGCCGCTGCCACCTGTGCGACTCTCCGCCGCAGCTGCCGGTCCGCCTGATCAAGCGGAATCCCGAGCAGGTCCGCGGTCATACCCAGTGCGCTGAGGGCCGCCGCTTGGCCCCCTCGTCCCTTGAGATCCTCGGCGCGCAAGGTATCCATAAATATCTCGAGGGGATCGGGCTCCTCAGCATCCTCGCTCACGCCGGCGGCGGCCGCCGCCAGGCGTGGCGGGGCCGCCGCGGGGGCTGGGCGGGGCAAGCCCTCCATCCCGGGCGCAGGTTGCGCCCCCTGCGCGCCGCCCCGCCGGTGGTGGCCGAGCGTGCGTACCGGGTCGTGCTGCAGCTGCTGGCGTTCCGTGCTCGTCAGGTAGCGCCGCCTCCAGCCGCTCGCGCTTTCCACGTCCACACCGTCCCGCTGATCCTGGCGTAGCATCGCCAGCAGATCCTGCGGGATGTGGTGGGCGATGACACGCAACCCCACTTCCCGCGCGCCTTGGGGGACCTCGTACAGCAGCCGATTGATCCAATCTATCGGGTAGCGCCCGTCCTCCAGCGGGGGGGGATGCCGCGCAACTTCGCTGGCCGGGACCTCCGCCCTGACGCCCTCGAGGCTGGTCCCGATGATAAGTCGGGCGTCCCCGCCAGTGCCCCGTACGTCGAGCCCCTCGCATTCTCCCAGTAGAATGTGCCAAGGACTCGCCGGGGGCGCGCCATGCGCATCCTCGGCTCCCCGGGGGTCGTCCGGGAGCATCGGGCAGACCTACGCGAGAATGGGCTCCTGCGGCCACCCGTGATGGGCGATCCGATCGCCCGGGGCTCCGCGGTCGGCGGACCGTGAGCGCTCGCTGGCCCTAGCTTCCGCGGAGCGCGAACGACGCGGCTGCGGTCCAGAGGCTAGAGCCTGTACCCTCGAGGGCTCAACATCGACGGATGGGGCCACTGCGGGGGGTGGTGGTGCAGCGGGCGGGGGGTAGACCGGCCCGGGCGCTACGCCAGCCCCATCGGCGGCGTGCGCGGTCCAATCGCGCGCCTTGGCGGGGCTCGGAGCCCGCGCTCGCATGCGACGGCGCAGACCCCCGAGGATCCCTGGTTGGACCGTCGCCTCGACGCGCAAGGCGTGGCCCTCGTCCCGTCGGAGATGTTCCCCGCGCATCGGGCCCCCCCCACAGCTACCCTTCGCCATGCAGAGGCAAGTGGGAAGGCTGCATTTGCGGCCGATCAGGGTAGACCGATACTTCTGCGCATGGTGGGCGCAGAGGTGCACCTGTGCATTCAGACAATGCCCCGGCCGTGGGACATCCGACACCTCTGCATCCTCCTGAAGCAGAACAGTCGCCTCCTGCATCCCTCGGTCGCCGCGCCCCTCCGGCTGGAGGGGGCGTGCGCCGCCTGCGAGCTGCGCCCCAACTTGTGCGGCTTGGCAGGGGCGCTCCTCCGCCTCCACCTCGCTCTCCGAATCGATGTCCAGGCGGCGGTAACCCGTGGCGTCGGTGATGTAGCGGGGCTCCGGCCGGGCCCGGCACAGCCATCCAAGTACCGACCAGGGCAAGCAGAGCAGCCACTTGATGACCCCGAATACCTTCCGGAGTCCCACGCCGACTGCCCGGCATGCTGTGGCCTTACCGTGCACAGCCAAGTCCACGATTTGTGTGTGGTCGATGGCCGCGTACTGGTCGACATGCATGGGCTGCGCCACTGGGCATGAGACGCACTCGACGGCACGGCATAGATGCACGTTACCTGTCTCCTCGAGGTTCAGCCGCCACTTGCGACTGGTGCACCCCGGAACCTGCCCGATCTTGATGTTGAGTCCGTGGCGGTCCAGTCGATACCGGTCCGCGAAGTTACAGCTGATGCGGGCCACCTGCCCGTGCTTGCGCAGGAGCACGTGGTTGCACGCCCGATTGGTTCCCCGGCCGCGGACCCCCTTTGTGTAGAACTCCGTTTCCACCACGCCGCCCAAGCCCGGCCCGCGCCAGCGCACCAGCAGGGGAGTCGGAGGGGGTGGGGGGAGATGGGCGCCGGGCCCATCGCCTCCGCGCCGCTGGCAGCACCGGGTAATCTGGTACCACGCCCAGCGGAGTCCCCCAGCTGCCCACAGCGTAGGCTGGGCTGCGGTGTTGACGATGAAGGCCAGGGCACCCAACACGAACGTGAAGATGCCCAGGGCGAAGCAAAGGACCGCGGTCTCCCACCAGTACCCGAGCATTTTAACGCCCAGCCGATCGATGGCGGATCCAACCCAGCCACCGCTCGTGCGGATCGTGCCAGTGTGGTCGCGAGAGCTCACCCACGCACCGTAGCCCACGAACTCGAAGACCCAAGCTGCGAATCCCCAACCTGGACCTGGCCCCGCCTCCGGGGGCGGGGTAGGTGGCGTTGGTGGCGGAGGGGGTGCGCTCCGGCCGGCCCACCAATGGGGCAGGTGCGGGACCCAACCGCTCCACCCCCAATATCCGTCCAGCCCGCGCGGCTGTCGCCATCGCCCGTCCGGTTTCCCGGGGCGGATGGCTGCCCAGGCGCGCCCAGGGGCTCGTCGCTCTTTCCGAATGCCGGCGTAGTCGGGCTGCCCGTGGGCTCGCCCCTGCCTACGCGCCCAATGCCCGCAGGTGTGGTCGTTGTAGTCGACCCTGCCCGCGGCGGCGCGGGGGCGCCCGGCGCCCCCGGGGGCTTGGCCTGCGGCCCTCGCCCCTTTCCCCCTGCAGGCGCAGGCTTGGCGGGCGGTCCTCGCCCCTTGCCTTGCCCTCCACCGCCTGTCGGCAGGGCTGACGGCCCGGGCAGGGCTGGCGGCGTCGGCGCTGGGACCTCATTTCCCGCGCGCCCGAATGGCAGCCAGCTCAGTGGCCCTTGGACCGTGAAAGCCCCGCCCATAACCAGGATCATCAGGTGTGCTCCAAGGAAGCCCACAGCCATGGCACCGCAGCAGCGCTCCCTAGTCCGCGGACTAGCACGGCTGTGGTTATGGCCGCCCCGCGGCCCCCCGGAACACCCGCGCGTCGGCCTGAGCCGAACGCTACGGACCCAAAATGGCTACCTGAGCCCACACCCCCTCCCACTTAACCTGCAGTCTACAACCAATCAGACTATGCAATCCGCCGGTGCGCGTCGGCCCTTGAGGGTAGGTATCCAGATCTCACTCCACTTCCGGAGCCTGTGATCGGCCCTCTTCCCCCTCCCCCGGATCACGTCGCACTATTTGGCCCGCGTCTGCACGGATGTTCTATGGAGCCCTCGCAGATGTCCTAAGATTTCCGGCGGCCCCCCGCCGTGATGTGATTGGGGTGGACGAGCTCCCCCCCCCTCGCCCGATCACGCCCGTGATCGCGAATGATGCAAAATAGGCTCCTACTTCAAGGATCGAGCGGTTTCACCTTTTCCTTGCGTTGGAAGCCCAATCTACTTCCAACGCATTCCTGCTTCATGTTTCTGCCCATTGCTTCCGACCGACGTGTCTCCCTGTCTTTCATGCCAATGTGCCCCCAGCATGTCATGCCTCTTGACATGGCTTAGTTCCCGCACTCCGTTCCCCATCTGCCGAGTATCCTCGGCGACTCAGCGTTCTGATCATGGTCGGCGGCCGAGAGTGTTGCGGGCAGCCCGACGGTCACCTTTTACCCGCTCGAGCCTTGCGTGAACTCTCGCGTTCGCAGACTGCTAGTCTTGGCCATCCAGACGAGGGCGGCGACAGGAGGTCTTGACGCGTCTCATGGGTGGTATCATGTCGCACTGTTTGCGGGCGTGGGACCGCGACGACAGCACGGGTTCTTGCTTCTTGCAATGTGCTAAGAACCGCTGCGTTTCGTCACTGTGCTTGCCAGCGGTCACCAGTCAAGAGTAACGATTCTTCGGGGGAATGAATGCGCGCGCCAGTTATGCGAGCATGGAGCCAATCGTGTCGAATTCCCCGCTTATCATGCGCTCCCAGGAGGAGCAGGACTTTGAAGAGGACCACGACCAGCCGCCAACATCCAAGGCCACTGACCTTGGCTGCGCTTCCCTGCGTCTTGCCGCCATTCAGCGATGCCTCTGCGTCCTCAGAGCACTGGTCCTTAAGTACATCTTGTGATGTCCTTTAGTCCATTCTGCGCCCCTCACGATGATTCGTCAATGATTCAGGTTTGCTCCACCTCTGTCGACCCCTTGTGTTCAGGTTGGGCACTGTTGTTTGCCTCTGCAGGCGTTGATCTAGGAGCATGGCACAATCAGGTTGCGGAGAAGAGGGGAAGGAGAGGGAGGCTGAGGAACATGAGGACGGAGAGGAAGGATGATAACGACGATCCGCACAATGAGCAACACAAGGGAGATGACGAGGATACTGAGACGGAGTCACTGTGGGAAAGAGGGGGCGAGTGAGGCGGAGGGGAGTGTCTAGCTGTGGTTGATGGTGCTTTCTTAGGGCCTTTTCGTTGGCTGTCTCTGGACCCTCTTAGGGCCAGTTTGGGGGGCCCAGTCTGGGCCGCTCTCGGGGTCTCTTGGGGCCGCCTGGGCCGTCTTGGTGCGTCTCAGGGCTTTATGGGGAGGTGCCCTCTTGGGGCATGCTGGCGCTCTCCGAGGGGGCTGTGTGGGGCTTTCTCGGGCGGCATTGGCGGCCTCGCAGGCAATATTGGGCTCTTCTGCGGGCCCTCTTGGGTAAGTGATATTGGGGCTCTTGTGTGGCTGTCTTCGACCGTCTTAGGACCTTCTTGGGCACTGTTTGCGCCGATACATGGCCTTCACAACCACTCGTGTCAAACACTCCTGAATGCACATGCTGGAAAGCATGGGAAGCTGTCTGGGGCGTCTCCTGCAGCCTCTGGGCTTCCCTCTGACGGTCTATCCCGTGCTTCTCGGGGCTCAACTCATGCCTCTTGGGGCTCGTCGGGGCCACTGGCGTCGTCCTTGGAGACTCTCGGCTAAACGTAAGAGTGACCTTTCGCCGGAGTGACCTCTGGTGCGGGCTCACCGGGGTCCCCAGATGGCTGAACGAGATGCGATAGCAGCGGCTTGCTCGATCCAGCTCGGCCTCCCCGCGGCCCCCGGAAGTCATCGCACCAGAGGTCAGTCACTCTTGCCCAGGGTCACTCTTTTCGGGGGTAGACAGACCTCCTACCCTGACACGTCGACTAGCGAATTGGCCGTTTTCGGTTCGCGAGAGGGCGTCGCGGCTGTCATTTTTGCGGGTCCAGGTCCGTTGGTTTCGGTCCCTGGCCGTTTTCACTAAAGGGAGGTTTACTAAAAGGAGGTTTGTCCACCGCCGGTCTTGACGTGTAGCCGGGACCCTGGCGCTGCCTTGCTGGTGTCCACGGAGCCCTCGAGGGGCTTGGCATCGCCCGGACGTGTGCATTTTTCTTTCGGCGAGGACCATCGAGGAGCATCCTTTGATCATTTGGCGAAAAAAACACGCACGAAATCAAAAAAAACACAGGGAATGGACGTCCGAGCGATGGCCAGGGGGGCACCGTGGACGTCGCGGGCCGTTTTGGCACCCCGGCGCCGCTCCTCTCAGGGGGCGGCGCCGGCGCTCGCCACGCGCGCGGGATCTGCGCTGGGGGGCAGCTGCCTCTCGCAGGTCGTCGGGAGCGGCGGCGCGCGGGGCCTCAGCAGCACGGGTCTTGCCGAGGTTGCGCAGCGTGGCGTGCGGAGTGCACAGGGAGCCCAGGCTCTGTCCTCAGGGGGCCACATGCGAGCCCGGCCCCTACCCCCCACGGTTTCTGAGGGGGAGGGTGGGGTTCACTTGGACCATGTTCTAGGAGCTCTGCGCGGCTCTTCTGGGCCTGTGCTGCCCCCCCCCCCAGGGCCCTCTGGAACGGCGCACCTCCAGCGGCGCCCCCTGGGCGCGCTTCCGGCGGCGCCAGGGCGGGGTGGCCTCAGCGCGGATCCGAGAAATCTGCGTGGAATTCCGAATCTGTTTTTTTCCCAACCATCCTGTGGTGTTGGGTCTTCGTTTTGAAGAGACGTCGCCCCGCGTTCTCCTCTCCTCTCCTCTCCTCTCCTCTCCTCTCCTCTCCTCTCCTCTCCTCTCCTCTCCTCTCCTCTCCTCTCCTCCCCTCCTCCCTCCTCCATTTCGGCAGACCCCTCACACGCTTCGTGGCCCCATAGGGAGCTCCGCCGAAGGCCCCAATGCTGCCGCCCGCATGCGTCACGCACACCCAATTCGGCACACCCCTCACACGTTTCGTGGCCCCATAGGAGCTCCGCCGAAGGCCCCAGTGCTGCCGCCCGCATGCGTCACGCACGCCCAATTCGGCACACCCCTCACACGCTTCGTGGCCCCATAGGGAGCTCCGCCGAAGGCCCCAGTGCTGCCGCCCGCATGCGTCCCGCACACCCATTCGGCACACCCCTCGCACGTTTCGTGGCCCCATAGGGGGCTCCACCGAAGGTCCCAGTGGGTGTGCCCGCATGCGTCACGCACACCCAATTCGGCACACCCCTCACACGCTTCGTGGTCCCATAGGGAGCTCCACCGAAGGCCCCAGTGCTGCCGCCCGCATGCGTCACGCACACCCAATTCGGCACACCCCTCACACGTTTCGTGGCCCCATAGGGAGCTCCGCCGAAGGCCCCAGTGCTGCCGCCCGCATGCGTCACGCACACCCAATTCGGCACACCCCTCACACGTTTCGTGGCCCCAGGAGCTCCGCCGAAGGCCCCAATGCTGCCGCCCGCATGCGTCACGCACACCCAATTCGGCACACCCCTCACACGTTTCGTGGCCCCATAGGGAGCTCCGCCGAAGGCCCCAGTGCTGCCGCCCGCATGCGTCACGCACACCCAATTCGGCACACCCCTCACACGTTTCGTGGCCCCATAGGGAGCTCCGCCGAAGGCCCCAATGCTGCCGCCCGCATGCGTCACGCACACCCAATTCGGCACACCCCGCACACGTTTCGTGGCCCCATAGGGAGCTCCGCCGAAGGCCCCAGTGCTGCCGCCCGCATGCGTCACGCACACCCATTTCGGCACACCCCTCACACGCTTCGTGGCCCCATAGGGAGCTCCGCCGAAGGTCCCGGTGGTTGTGCCCGCATGCGTCCCGCACATTCATTCCGGCACACCCCTCACACGTTTCGTTGCCCCATAGGGAGCTCCGCCGAAGGCCCCAGTGCTGCCGCCCGCATGCGTCCCGCACACCCAATTCGGCACACCCCTCACGCGTTTCGTGGCCCCATAAGGAGCTCCGCCGAAGTCGCAGTGGGTGTGCCCGCATGCGTCCCGCACACCCATTTCGGCATACTCTTCACACGTTTCGTGGCCCCGTAGGGAGCTCCACCTAAGGCCCCAGTGGGTGTGCCCGCATGCGTCCCGCACACCCATTTCGGCACACCCCTCACGCGTTTCGTGACCCCTCACACGTGTCGTGGTCCCATAGGGAGCTCCACCGAAGGCCCCAGTGGGTGTGCCCGCATGCGTCCCGCACACCCAAGTCGGCACACCCCTCGCACGTTTCGTGGCCCCGTAGGGGGCTCCACCGACGGTCCCAGTGGGTGTGCCCGCATGCGTCCCGCACGCCCAATTCGGCACACCCCTCACACGTTTCGTGGCCCCATAGGGAGCTCCGCCGAAGGCCCCAATGGTGTGCCCACATGCGTCCCGCACACCCATTTCGGCACACCCCTCACACGTTTCGTGGCCCCATAGGGAGCTCCACCGAAGAAGATATTCACAATTCCGGTACTCACAATTGCATATGGCTGGGTCCTTCGCCAGGATATTTTTTGTTCTGTCTCTCTTTTTTTTGTTTCTCTCTCTCTCTCTTTCTCTCTCTCTCTCTCTCTTTCTCTCTCTTTTTGTTTCTCTGAAGGAGGAGGAGGAGGCGGAGGAGGAGGAGGAGGCGGAGGAGGAGGGGGAGGAGGAGGAGGAGGAGGAGGAGGGGAGGATGAGGAGGAGGAGGAGGCGGAGGAGGAGGAGGAGGAGGGGCAGGGGGAGGAGGACGAGGAGGAGGAGGAGGAGGAGAAGGAGGAGGAGGAGGAGGAGGAGGAGCAGGAGCAGGAGAGGGAGGAGGAGCAAGGCGGGGGGAGCGGGGCCTCCCTGCTGCTCCTCGGTGCCCGTGCCCCCCGCCTCCCCCGAGGCTTCCGCAGCGGCGGGCCGGAAGGGCGGCGAGCCTCCCCTGGGGCCCGCGAAGGCCGCCAAGCCGGCGAAGCCGGAGACGGCGCGGGCGGGGAGGGAGAGGGGGCGGGGCCAGGACCCGTGGCCGCGCGAAAGCAGTCCCGCCTGGCAAGCACAGCGCGACAGCGCCAAGGAAGCTCGAGGTTCGCGGCCGCCCTGAACTCTTCAGCGATCCATCTTTGCCAAAACGATTTTGGCTCCGCCAGGATCCTCCTGGCCTCCTGATGCCTGGATTGAGTCGCTCCAGACCTGCATTGAGTCGGAGACGGCGCGGACGGGCAGGTCGGGGTCAGGCGGGCGGGCCCAGGACCTGGATGGAGTCGCTCCAGAGCTCGAGGAAGGCAGAATGCCAGAGTTCGGTCACGCGTAAGAGTGACCCTTCGCCGGAGTGACCTTTGGTGCGGGCCCGTTGGGGTCCCCCGATCGCCGGATGCGATGCGATAGTGGCGTCTGCGCGCTTGTGTTTGGTCCCCGCGCGGCCCCCAGAAAGCCGCGCACCAAAGGTCACTCTTACCCAGGGTCACTCTTGCGTGTAGCCGAATAAACAAGAATTTTCGGAGTTCCGCGCGGTTTTCTTGGGTCGGCGCTGGACTTCCCTCCCTGGTGCGCGGGGCGCGCCAGGGGGCGGCGCTGGTGGCGCCGCCAGGGGGGCTCCAGCGCCGCGTCAAGAGATCCACGCGGACCTCGGGAAGTTTGAATGCTTACGATTGTGTTGGTTCTTCGATGCACGCTCCAGGACGCTCTGAGGGCGAGCTCTCCGGCGCGCTCTGGAACTGCCGCGGCGCCCGATAGTACCTCCACCTCCACCTCCACCTCCACCTCCTTCTCCTCCTCCTCCTCCTCGTCCTCCTCCTCCTCCTCCTCCTCCTCCTCCTCCTCCTCCTCCTCGGGCGCCCTCGTGTCCGATTCTGCCCAGGCCCTGGCTTCTTCTCGGTCAGGGGCGGTCTGAGCGACCCCTCGTCAAACCACCGGCCCCTTGTCGTGACGGCCCCCCTTTCCGGACCTCCCTCCAAGACTGGGTCGGACGAAAAGGGGGCGGGTGCGGCATCCGCTGTGTGCAGCTGGTTCCGGCCCCTTGGTAGATACATTGGCACCTGCCGGCGCCGGGAGGCGCCAGAAAACCAGAGCCGATTCGTCACCTCGGGACGATCGAGATGGGTACGGAAAGAATAAGACTCGCTGTCCGCGCCGCCGCGGACGTTGTTCACTGAAGACATGAAGCCGCCTGCCCAACAGTGGCCGCTGTCGGTTTTGGACAGCATTTGTTTTTGGGCATTGCACAACTTTTTCCCGTACCCAGTTCGGGCGTCCAAAACATCCCCCCGTTTTGCTATCCGCCCCGTTCGTCCGACCCGACAAGACGTCGGCAGGTGGACGGAGGGGAGCCTAGAGGGTGCGTGGTTCGTCGCGGAGGGGCTCGGACTACAGAATGGGTCGGTCAGGTCGCACCCGACGGGGGGACCTTCGGGTGAAGGAGGTTGGTATTTGGAGGAGTCGGTCACGCCACTCTCTCTCGCTTTCTGCATTAGGCGCGTCTGACAAGAAATGGGGCTGCCTGCAGGTTGCAGGTGCCCGAGAGTTCTTTTCCCGATGTCCCTGGGGACCCAAAGAAGCGTTGAGACACCTCTGGAGGTCCGAAGAGCGACGACGAATGGAGCACGCAGACTCACAATCATATCTCGCATCGCCCGTATATGCTGGAAAGGGTTGGATGCCCTCAGGTAATACACATGGGAGATCAGAAACATCAAACTGTTCGATTATTGCTCAACATATGTTGTCATGGAAATCCGCGTCTCAATGGCACGCGTTCGGACACGTGTGATAAATCACGATGTTGATCACATTTATGATTTTGGCACTTCGGACATTCGCGCAGATATCTTGGATCGGCTCTGGATCTGCGTCCCTGGTGCGCGGAGCGCGCCAGGGTCTGCTCCAGAGGCGCCGCTCGGGTTCCGCCCTGATGGCGTTTCCCAGATCTTCCGAAGATTTAAGGTAGTTTGTCGTTCCCCATATCCCATGTACGGGGTTCTGGTCATTGCTGGTCCTTAGTTAGACTTGCTCATACTCAGAGTTCCTCATGCACAAACTACTCGTCACACACAGGTCACTCACACTCTGACTCACTCTCATGCATGTTCACTCATATTCGGATCCACTGATACTCAGATTTATTAACACTCAGATCCTTTGATATTCAGTCTTGCTCATACTCAGACGTACTCATACACATACTTCTCCCACCCATACACATATACCATTGTACCTATCGCCGCGCTGTCGTGCGGGCCAATCATGATGCGGGGAGCCGCTCTGCTTTGCGCTCTCCTGGGCCCGTGCGGCGGGCTGAAGCTGGATCGCCAGGCGAGCCAGCCGAAAGAGGAGCCGAAACTCGGGTCGCCCGCGCCGACCCCGGCACCGACGCCAGCGCCGACGACTTACCAAGTAATCAACGATATCGGCGATTGGGATGTGGCCGAACAGTACTGCGTCTCTCTCGGTGGCCACCTGGCCAGCATCGCCGATGAGGACGAAAACGACATAGTGGCAAATCTCTGTGCCACAGCAGTGTGCTCGGGTGGGTGCGACGATTCAATCCCAATCATGTGTTGGATCGGGGGCTACAAACCAGACTGGGATCTCACCAGCGGGGTATTCTATTGGACCGATGGGACAGCATCAAGCTATGCGAACCCTCACAGCACTTCCCAATTCACAGGCGTACCCGACCAGCCCAAACTGGCAATGTTCAATCCTGCTTCTTCGTACATCTACAACGAGCCTGGGAAATGGCAGTTCGAGCGTGGCGATGTAGATTATTACTCGGCTGTTGCGAGCTACCGACCACCGCGGCGCCGACGCCCGCGCCGACCCCCGCACCGACACCGGCGCCGGCGCCCGCGCCGACCCCGGCACCGACGCCAGCGCCGACCACTTACCAAGTAATCAACGATATCGGCGATTGGGATGTGGCCGAACAGTACTGCGTCTCTCTCGGTGGCCACCTGGCCAGCATCGCCGATGAGGACGAAAACGACATAGTGGCAAATCTCTGTGCCACAGCAGTGTGCTCGGGTGGGTGCGACGATTCAATCCCAATCATGTGTTGGATCGGGGGCTACAAACCAGACTGGGATCTCACCAGCGGGGTATTCTATTGGACCGATGGGACAGCATCAAGCTATGCGAACCCTCACAGCACTTCCCAATTCACAGGCGTACCCGACCAGCCCAAACTGGCAATGTTCAATCCTGCTTCTTCGTACATCTACAACGAGCCTGGGAAATGGCAGTTCGAGCGTGGCGATGTAGATTATTACTCGGCTGTTTGCGAGATACCGACCACCGCGGCGCCGACGCCCGCGCCGACCCCCGCACCGACACCGGCGCCGGCGCCCGCGCCGACCCCGGCACCGACGCCAGCGCCGACGACTTACCAAGTAATCAACGATATCGGCGATTGGGATGTGGCCGAACAGTACTGCGTCTCTCTCGGTGGCCACCTGGCCAGCATCGCCGATGAGGACGAAAACGACATAGTGGCAAATCTCTGTGCCACAGCAGTGTGCTCGGGCGGGTGCGACGATTCAATCCCAATCATGTGTTGGATCGGGGGCTACAAACCAGACTGGGATCTCACCAGCGGGGTATTCTATTGGACCGATGGGACAGCATCAAGCCATGCGAACCCTCACAGCACTTCCCAATTCACAGGCGTACCCGACCAGCCCAAACTGGCAATGTTCAGTCCTGCTTCTTCGTACATCTACAACGAGCCTGGAAAATGGCAGTTCGAGCGTGGCGATGTAGATTATTACTCGGCTGTTTGCGAGATACCGACCACCGCGGCGCCGACGCCCGCGCCGACCCCCGCACCGACACCGGCGCCGGCGCCCGCGCCGACCCCGGCACCGACGCCAGCGCCGACGACTTACCAAGTAATCAACGATATCGGCGATTGGGATGTGGCCGAACAGTACTGCGTCTCTCTCGGTGGCCACCTGGCCAGCATCGCCGATGAGGACGAAAACGACATAGTGGCAAATCTCTGTGCCACAGCAGTGTGCTCGGGTGGGTGCGACGATTCAATCCCAATCATGTGTTGGATCGGGGGCTACAAACCAGACTGGGATCTCACCAGCGGGGTATTCTATTGGACCGATGGGACAGCATCAAGCTATGCGAACCCTCACAGCACTTCCCAATTCACAGGCGTACCCGACCAGCCCAAACTGGCAATGTTCAATCCTGCTTCTTCGTACATCTACAACGAGTCTGGGAAATGGCAGTTCGAGCGTGGCGATATAGATTATTACTCGGCGGTTTGCGAGATACCAACCACCGCGTCGACGTCCAGCCCGACGCCCAGCCCGACGCCCGACCCGACGCCCACCTCGGACCCCATCATCTCCGCCGTCGGCGACCCTCACCTCGTCAACGTGTACGGCCAGAGGTTCGACCTCTACCAGCCCGGGGTTCACCCGCTCATCCGGATCCCGAGATGGGTGGGACGGAGGACCGCGTTCCTCATGCAGGCGACGGCGACTCGCATTGGGGACGGATGCGCGGAGCTGTACTTCACGCAGATCAACATCACAGGCATGTGGGCTCGGCGGCACCGGGCGGCAGACCTTACCTGGGCCGCCGAGGGCGTCGGGCGTGGCAAGGCCCAAAGGCGCAAGTTCCACCAGATCAGCGTGAAGGTGTTACATGGCCACACCCTGCTGGGAACGAGGTACCTCAACGTCTTTGTGCGGGGCCTGAACAAGGCCAACTTCGCAATCGGGGGGCTCCTCGGAGAGGACGACCACGCCGCGGCTGGCACGCCCAGCACCGGCTGCAGGCATCTCCAGTCCCTCTGAGTCTCGCGCTTGTGGTATCCGAGCTGAGGGCGCGCCCGATTCGGCACCGCTGCAGCTGTTTCCTTGAGTGCGTGAAGGATTTTGGCTTTCTGAAAGGAGAGAGGAGGAGGGTCACCAATCCAAGTCGAGGTGGGTCGGCACTCCCCAGCTCCAGAGAGGGCGTTGGCCCACTGGTGTTCTGGGGGGAATCGTCGTTAACCGGGTGAATGAGCTTCCCTGGCGACGCCTCGACTATTTTCTTTCTTCGCTGCGTGGCACGTTTTGCGGAGGTAGCGTCCGAGACCAGGGGGGCGCCGCAAGAGCGCCGGAAACCTGGTCCACCTGCCCCGCTTCGTCACGCTGTCGCTCAGTCGATTGATTGGAAAAAAAAGAGGCCCCTACGACGGCCCAAGAGGCCCCCAAGAGAGGCCCAAGAGGGGTCCAAGAGGAGGAGCCCGAACGTACATGTCGAGCAGTTCCCAACACATTGTCTTCGAGTCTCCCAACATCCACCAAGAGACCCAAATAGACCCGACATGCCCCCAAGAGGATCTCAAGAGACCCCAAAAGGCTCCCCCAAGAGGCTCCCCGAGAGGCCCAAAAGACGCTTCAAGAGGCCCTCGAGAGGCCCCAAGAGGCTTCAAACCTGCCTCCAATAAGCCCCCGAGAGGCGTCCCGAGAGAGCTAAACGTGCATCCAAGTGGCCCCTGACCCTCAACCCAGGCACGGTGGCGGGATGGCCCGCAGGCCACTAGAGTCGCGTTCGCTCTCACTCCCGCTCCTCGCTCCTCTTCGCTGCTCCTCCTAACTTCCACCTCATCTAATCTACACAGCGGCTTCTTCCTCCTCGCGAGCCTTACACGACAGCTCGGGGGCACTACCACGTTTCAAGAACTTCCCCATCCCCCCGAGCACACGGACAGATGGCAACAACGATGCAACATGGGCCGGCGGAGTGTTCGAAGCGATCGAATAAAACGCCACAGAAGGAGATGCACATATTGGGATCCCCGTGTCGAAACTGTGATGGACAGGGGACAGGGGACAGGAGAGCGGCGGGGCGATGGTGGGGGCCGCCGCCCCGTCGATGATCCACGGGGCAGGGCCACCGGCGCTGCTGGGGTCGCTGCAGAGGACACGGGCGGAGACGGCGACCTGACCTTGCGCTCGAGGAGCTACTCAGACGTACTCACACACATACTTCTCCCACCCATACACACATACCATTGTACCTATCGCCGCACTGTCGCGCGGGCCAATCATGATGCGGGGAGCCGCTCTGCTTTGCGCTCTCCTGGGCCCGTGCGGCGGGCTGAAGCTGGATCGCCAGGCGAGCCAGCCGAAAGAGGAGCCGAAGCTCGGGTCGCCCGCGCCGACCCCGGCACCGACGCCAGCGCCGACGACTTACCAAGTAATCAACGATATCGGCGATTGGGATGTGGCCGAACAGTGCTGCGTCTCTCTCGGTGGCCACCTGGCCAGCATCGCCGATGAGGGCGAAAACGACACAGCAGTGGTGTGCCACAATCTCTGTGGGATCCACCAGCGGTGTATTCTATTGGACCGATGGGACAGCATCAAGCTATGCGAACCCTCACAGCACTTCCCAATTCACAGGCGTACCCGACCAGCCCAAACTGGCAATGTTCAATCCTGCTTCTTCGTACATCTACAACGAGCCTGGGAAAATGGCAGTTCGAGCGTGGCGATGTAGATTATTACTCGGCTGTTTGCGAGATACCGACCACCCGCGGCGCCGACGCCCGCGCCGACCCCCGCACCGACACCGGCGCCGGCGCCCGCGCCGACCCCGGCACCGACGCCAGCGCCGACGACTTACCAAGTAATCAACGATATCGGCGATTGGGATGTGGCCGAACAGTACTGCGTCTCTCTCGGTGGCCACCTGGCCAGCATCGCCGATGAGGACGAAAACGACATAGTGGCAAATCTCTGTGCCACAGCAGTGTGCTCGGGTGGGTGCGACGATTCAATCCCAATCATGTGTTGGATCGGGGGCTACAAACCAGACTGGGATCTCACCAGCGGTGTATTCTATTGGACCGATGGGACAGCATCAAGCTATGCGAACCCTCACAGCACTTCCCAATTCACAGGCGTACCCGACCAGCCCAAACTGGCAATGTTCAATCCTGCTTCTTCGTACATCTACAACGAGCCTGGGAAATGGCAGTTCGAGCGTGGCGATGTAGATTATTACTCGGCTGTTTGCGAGATACCGACCACCGCGGCGCCGACGCCCGCGCCGACCCCCGCACCGACACCGGCGCCGGCGCCCGCGCCGACCCCGGCACCGACGCCAGCGCCGACGACTTACCAAGTAATCAACGATATCGGCGATTGGGATGTGGCCGAACAGTACTGCGTCTCTCTCGGTGGCCACCTGGCCAGCATCGCCGATGAGGACGAAAACGACATAGTGGCAAATCTCTGTGCCACAGCAGTGTGCTCGGGCGGGTGCGACGATTCAATCCCAATCATGTGTTGGATCGGGGGCTACAAACCAGACTGGGATCTCACCAACGGGGTATTCTATTGGACCGATGGGACAGCATCAAGCTATGCGAACCCTCACAGCACTTCCCAATTCACAGGCGTACCCGACCAGCCCAAACCGGCAATGTTCAATCCTGCTTCTTCGTACATCTACAACGAGCCTGGGAAATGGCAGTTCGAGCGTGGCGATGTAGATTATTATTCGGCTGTTTGCGAGATGCCGACCACCGCGGCGCCGACGCCCGCGCCGACCCCCGCACCGACACCGGCGCCGGCGCCCGCGCCGACCCCGGCACCGACGCCAGCGCCGACGACTTACCAAGTAATCAACGATATCGGCGATTGGGATGTGGCCGAACAGTACTGCGTCTCTCTCGGTGGCCACCTGGCCAGCATCGCCGATGAGGACGAAAACGACATAGTGGCAAATCTCTGTGCCACAGCAGTGTGCTCGGGTGGGTGCGACGATTCAATCCCAATCATGTGTTGGATCGGGGGCTACAAACCAGACTGGGATCTCACCAGCGGGGTATTCTATTGGACCGATGGGACAGCATCAAGCTATGCGAACCCTCACAGCACTTCCCAATTCACAGGCGTACCCGACCAGCCCAAACTGGCAATGTTCAATCCTGCTTCTTCGTACATCTACAACGAGCCTGGGAAATGGCAGTTCGAGCGTGGCGATGTAGATTATTACTCGGCTGTTTGCGAGATACCAACCACCGCGTCGACGTCCAGCCCGACGCCCAGCCCGACGCCCGACCCGACGCCCACCTCGGACTCCATCATCTCCGCCGTCGGCGACCCTCACCTCGTCAACGTGTACGGCCAGAGGTTCGACCTCTACCAGCCCGGGGTTCACCCGCTCATCCGGATCCCGAGATGGGTGGGACTGAGGACCGCGTTCCTCATGCAGGCGATGGCGACTCGCATTGGGGACGGATGCGCGGAGCTGTACTTCACGCAGATCAACATCACAGGCATGTGGGCTCGGCGGCACCGGGCGGCAGACCTTACCTGGGCCGCCGAGGACGTCGGGCGTGGCAAGGCCAAATGGCGCAAGTTCCACCAGATCAGCGTGAAGGTGTTACATGGCCACACCCTGCTGGGAACGAGGTACCTCAACGTCTTTGTGCGGGGCCTGAACAAGGCCAACTTCGCAATCGGGGGGCTCCTCGGAGAGGACGACCACGCCGCGGCTGGCACGCCCAGCACCGGCTGCAGGCATCTCCAGTCCCTCTGAGTCTCGCGCTTGTGGTATCCGAGCTGAGGGCGCGCCCGATTCGGCACCGCTGCAGCTGTTTCCTTGAGTGCGTGAAGGATTTTGGCTTTCTGAAAGGAGAGAGGAGGAGGGTCACCAATCCAAGTCGAGGTGGGTCGGCACTCCCCAGCTCCAGAGAGGGCGTTGGCCCACTGGTGTTCTGGGGGGAATCGTCGTTAACCGGGTGAATGAGCTTCCCTGGCGACGCCTCGACTATTTTCTTTCTTCGCTGCGTGGCACGTTTTGCGGAGGTAGCGTCCGAGACCAGGGGGGCGCCGCAAGAGCGCCGGAAACCTGGTCCACCTGCCCCGCTTCGTCACGCTGTCGCTCAGTCGATTGATTGGAAAAAAAAGAGGCCCCTACGACGGCCCAAGAGGCCCCCAAGAGAGGCCCAAGAGGGGTCCAAGAGGAGGAGCCCGAACGTACATGTCGAGCAGTTCCCAACACATTGTCTTCGAGTCTCCCAACATCCACCAAGAGACCCAAATAGACCCGACATGCCCCCAAGAGGATCTCAAGAGACCCCAAAAGGCTCCCCCAAGAGGCTCCCCGAGAGGCCCAAAAGACGCTTCAAGAGGCCCTCGAGAGGCCCCAAGAGGCTTCAAACCTGCCTCCAATAAGCCCCCGAGAGGCGTCCCGAGAGAGCTAAACGTGCATCCAAGTGGCCCCTGACCCTCAACCCAGGCACGGTGGCGGGATGGCCCGCAGGCCACTAGAGTCGCGTTCGCTCTCACTCCCGCTCCTCGCTCCTCTTCGCTGCTCCTCCTAACTTCCACCTCATCTAATCTACACAGCGGCTTCTTCCTCCTCGCGAGCCTTACACGACAGCTCGGGGGCACTACCACGTTTCAAGAACTTCCCCATCCCCCCGAGCACACGGACAGATGGCAACAACGATGCAACATGGGCCGGCGGAGTGTTCGAAGCGATCGAATAAAACGCCACAGAAGGAGATGCACATATTGGGATCCCCGTGTCGAAATTGTGATGGACAGGGGACAGGGGACAGGAGAGTGGCGGGACGATGGTGGGGGCCGCCGCCCCGTCGATGATCCACGGGGCAGGGCCACCGGCGCTGCTGGGGTCGCTGCAGAGGACACGGGCGGAGACGGCGACCTGACCTTGCGCTCGAGGAGCGCCGCGGGCGAAGCCTGGAGGAGGGGGCAGGTGAGGGAAACGAGGGAAGGATCTGTCCCATGTCCCCGCCCGCTCGCATTTGTTTTAATAGTTGTTTCGTAGTGTTCGGCGTCCGGGGGCCTCTTTCGGGCCCCGTGACCTTCAAAAACGGATCCGGAGTGAAACATTACACCGGATGGACCGTGGAGGAGGAGGAGTAGGCGGAGATGGAGGCGGAGGAGGACTTTAGACTTGGCTGCTGGGGGAGGGGGCTCAAGACAAACAGTGGAAGAAAAGGGAAAGCCCGCAACCGTCCTGCAAGTGCAGCGTTGCCGATGCCTTGCCAAAACTTGCACAGACCCGAAAACTGCCCTGGGGTGGAACCCCTGGCGTTTCACAAAACGCCGGCTTGCAAGAATACGCGGTCAGCAATAGCTTCAGGAAGAGTGGGCATCAATCGAACAAATGGTTGCTTGCATCGATCCCCCCTTCAATATAAGTCCTCCCCATCGGTCAAAACAGGGCCACTTGTGAATTCCAGTGGCCCGCGGTGCAGCCTAGACCGCAACAAAGCAATTGTGATTTCCAGTGGCCTGCGTTGGGGCAAGTCATACATGTTGCGCCGCACCACCGAGCCCCAAGAGCTGAAACCATTTCGGGCCCGCTGGCGGGTCCAGATTGGGTTCAGCTTTCTCTGTCGCTCAGCCGCCTGAGGCGGTTGCATTTGACACGCGATTTATTCCTCACCCCCTGTTCCTCTCATCCAATCTTCCACCGCCCTACAGCGTCGTTCCTGAGGAGGAGATGATGATGATGAGGAGGAGGTGTTGGAATGCTGGGCCTAGTGCGCGGCAGGAGTGTAGCATAGCAGCGCATGCGACCAGCAGCGCGCAACGCCAATGTGGCCGTTGGGCGTTTGGCTTAATATATATATATATATATATATATATACACATATATATATATATATCATCGAGGAGCGTCGCTTGCCCTCGGTGGAAAAAGGCCTGCTACCCTTCATCCTTCGAGTAAGTTTGCACGGTGGCGGAGCCTGTGGTCTGAACCACAGGCTCCAGGCCGCGCCGTGTCGACTGGCGATGCTGCAGCCGCAGCTGCAGCTCCTCCTCCTCCTCCTCCTCCTCCTCCTCCTCCTCCTGCTCCTGCTCCTGCTCCTCCTCCTCCCCCTCCTCCTCACGACCCTGGCATCGACACCAGCATCCAGAGGCACCGTGAGCTGTGGTTAAACATCAGCCCAGCGCGATTCAGAGCTGAGGGAGGCTGCGTGCAGGAATAGCGACTCCAGCTATGCCAGGACGGCGCTGAGGGTTGACGATGATGGCATGGGATGCCTCATTGAGCAGCGCGTTGCATATGGAGTTCGCAGCTTTACTGATGAGGAAGTTCACGTTATGCTGGCGATGAACCAAAAAGGTGAATGCCATGGGGCTGGGCATGGCTTTCAGGAACATGTACTGTGTACTGTGAAGGAGAGGCGACCAAGTTGAGAGACACAGTAGAGTTCCTGGAACCCCGAATCAATTGTCAGTTAACTGCGGCCGAACAGGTCGGGAAGCTGGCAGATGAAATTGCCGCTGGATCCAACAAGTCAGGCGGAAGACCTAACAAGCCTGCCAGCGAGCACAACACAATGCAGCAGTTGATACGTTTTCTGGGGGCAGGTCCATGTTCAGAGGGTGGAGTGAGAAATTGCTGAGTTCGTTAGTCCAAGTCAACAGCGGCTATCGTAAAGCATGCAAGGCTTTGAGCACGGAACTTGAGAGCATTTATTGCAAGTTACAGGATGATGACGAAGATGCCTTGGCTCAGAATTGGCAGTTAATTGCGAAGGAGTTCGCCGAAGCGTCAGTTGCCAATCGTCAATAATACGAATATATGAGAGAACACGAGTTTCAAGCTGAGCAAGCTCAAAGGCTAGACGAGGACCTCTGGTACATCCTCAACGACGGCTTAGAAGGAGTGGAGCCACCAGGGCAACTCACAGGGCTACGTGAGGGCGACGGGTTTAAATGCATACCAGCAGATCTACCACGGGTATCCCGCGGTCACTGGAGCTACCTTGTCTGCCAAGACAAATCGGGCCATTAACCCTGGTCGGCTCAAGCGAGTTAGCGAAGTTCCCTCGCAGCTCGAACAATGGAGTGATTTTGTCGAGACACAGGGAAAGTAGGGGGCATCATGCTTGTTGCCGTTGCCAGTCAGAGTTGCAACCCTCAGGATGATCATGACTCACGTTGGCGACTGGTCCGAGGATTGGCAGCAAGACTGCTGCGAGACCCCGGTCTCGCTAACGCAAAACAATTACCAGAATCAGTATACCCATTGTGAGGACAGGGCCCATAAAATATAGGCGCGGGCACGAACACAACGAAGCTATCGACATCGGAAGTGCTCCTGTGTCTGCCCAGGGAAGCTGGTCCAGTAACAATGATCGGAGTACTGAAGGTTACGTTGGTGATGAGGGCTTCTGGTGGGCACCAGACGCCAGCTGGGGCCAGGGGGAAGTTATGGGGAGGAGTGTAACGACAACTCCGTCTACAAAGGCAAATAAGGCACAGGGGGCAAGGCGCGCAATATTACAAGTGTGGCGGTTGCGGGCATATCGCTGCCAACTGTACGAAAGGATGTGGAACGGGCAGCTACAAGTGTAAAGGTATTTACAAGGGCAATCAATTCACTTTTGGCCAACCGCGCGGGCGACGAGGGCACGGCGCGCCCGACGGAGGCGCTCTGGGCACCGCGGCGCGCTGCCGCAGCCGCAGGCGTTCGGCCTCCGGCAACTACGCTGTCGACGAAGACGCGCCGCGCCTGGCAGAGGCGCTCTGGGCCCGGGGCACGCTGCCGCGGCTGCAGGTGCTCGACCAACGACGACCGCGTGGGCGACGAGGAAATGAATGCTACACGCGCAAGAATGTGCCACTTTGGCATTCAGCAAAATATTCACGTACCACACCTAGCGGTACATACCTCCAGGTTGCCACGACACTTTGCGCAGATTTTGGGATGTGCAAGTGTACACAGTGCGTACATTAGCATGTATTGGGTTGGCATGGCCGTAGGCAATATCACGCAGAGTGGCGCGCACAAACACAGGGAAGTATGATGGGCCACTTGCTTTGTCAGCTCTTGAGCAATCGCTGGATGCAGCACGGATGTGCGCTGATCAGTATTCTCGCGCGAAGACCGAGATATGCATCACTATCTTAGTACGCGCAAGGGCGGCCATAATGGAATGATGTTGCTCGGCGCGTGACGAGGGATCTGGACGAAAAAGATGCCACGCAATACATAATCGTCCAATACCAACGCGCGTTTGTGCTTGCGGCCACCGGATGAACCAACCATCTCGGGCGCCAGCGGTCTCAAGAGCTTCCTCAACGCCCGCATAAGCCACGACTATGCGTCATCATGTATGACTGTCCTCCCAAAACAAAGCTCTTGGTGGACGGGGGCCTGCCGCAAAATTATGAACTCCAGTCCTTTTCTACCAACGCCATCGTTGCGCAGACGGAAACGGCAGAAGCACTACCAACGGAATCAAGAATCAAGCAGCAGGAAAATATGAAGGCCGACAAAGAAGCGGGGATCTCCCCCCCACGTATCAAGACACCCGCCGAACCCGGTGACGACAACTGCGGCGGATATCTCAAAGACTTGGGTTACGATGTGAGCTCGCGCCATAGCGCGGACGTTCCGACTGAAGATATGGAATCTGGTGGCAACGAACGTGATGACTTGTTCCTTTCCGTTCCGTCGCGTGCACCAGCGGGCGCGCGCGCCTGATTCTATGCCGTTGTACATACTCAACGTTGTGGCACGCATTGACTTGTCGACATGCTGGAACTTTGCGATGGGAATGGTGGAGTACCGCAACTTTTTCTTTTACGTGGTCTGTTGGCAGGATGGCGCCAAGACATGGGGACCGACGTGGTCCTTGGAGGCGGAATTGTGCGACAACTCCTGAAGCGATGTCTTGACGCCTGCGATATTCGGGATTGTGATACTACGGCCCAACTGCAGGACCGCCGGCCCGCCGTCCTACCCCAACGCGCAGGTCAGCTGCGAGATCTTGCTGGCGCGCCTCGACGAGGACCTACCTCATATCAAACACTGGAGGTGTAGCCAAGAAGCAAGACGATAACGTGCGCTACTTCCTCAAGGGGCAGCCAGCAATCACTTGGGTCGGCGAGATACCTCTGGTGTGGGCGGGCCAAACGCCCGCGCATTCAACGTGTCATTGTGGGCAAGTGCGCCGCAGACTGCCACTGCTACTAATAGTAGTAGTACTACTACTACTACTACTACTACTACTACTACGACTACTATTACTATTACTACTACTACTACTACTACTACTACTACTACTACTACTACTACTACTACTACTACTACTACTACTACTACTACTACTACTACTACTACTACTACTACTACTACTACTACTACTACTACTACTACTACTACTACTACTACTACTACTACCACTAACTACTACCACTACCACTACTACTACTACTACTACTACTACTACTACTACTACTACTACTACTACTACTACTACTACTACTACTACTACTACTACTACTACTACTACTACTACTACTACTACTACTACGAATACTACGAATACTACTACTACTACTACTACTACTACTACTACTACTACTACTATTACTACTACTACGCCCAAAACGATTATCCCGCCCGCCAACCCATCATGTATTCGATATTTGCTGCTGGGGCCGAGCACGCGCATAAAGTCTTGTAACACACAATGCGAGTAGGGAGGGGGGGCGGCGGGAAGGGGAAGCGACGTAGGGAGGAGGAGAAGGATGAGGAGGACGATGAGGAGGAGGAAGAGGAGGAGGACGATGGGGGAGGAGGAGGAGGAAGAGGAGGAGGAGGAGGAGGGGGAGGAGGAAGAGGATGAGGAGGAGAGGGGGAGGAGAAAGGAGGAGGAGGAGGAGAGTTGAGGAGGGAGGAAGGAGGGCTCCAAGAGGGCTGAAGGCCTCAAGAGGGCCTTAAGAGTGGCCCAGAGAGACCCCAAGAAGGCCCCCAAAGCAGCCCCTTCCGAAACATATAATATGTTTCGTTGTGTTTCCCGCCCCCTTCCGAAACATGAAATCTGTTTCGGTTGCGTTTTCCTCTTGCTGCCATTTCGGGCTCTTTTAGGGCTCTTGTAGGACGCCAGCCCACTGGGTCCACCAGCACCCTTCGAACGTGGCGGCAGTTTCGCAGATCGCAGCGCTCCCCCCAGGGATGGGGGATGGCGAGGTCCAATCTGAGCCCCCATATGACGTCACTCTGCTGGGCCCCCCCTGCAGCTCTCGAGCGTTAGCCCTTCTAGGGCTTATTTGGGCGCCAAGAAAAGTCACTAAGGGCCCCAGGAGAGCTCCAAAAAGGCCCCAAGAGGGCCCTAAAAGTGGCCCAACCAAAGAGACCCCAAGAAGGCCCCCAAAGCAGCCCCTTCCGAAACATCAGATATTGTTCGGTTGTTCTTCCCGCCCCCTTCCGACAAATAAAATATTAGTCGGTTGTTTTTTCCTCTTGCTGCCGTTTCGGGCTCTTTTAGGGTCCCTTGTAGGACGCTAGTCCACTGGACCCACCAGCACCCCTCGAAACGGGCGACGGTTTCGCAGATGGCAGCCCGGCCCCCCAGGGATGGCGAGATGCAATCTAAGCCCCCATAGGACGTCACTCTGCTGGGCCCCCCTCTGCAGCCCTCGAACGTTGGCCCTTCTATGGCTTATTTGGGCGCCAAGAAAAGTCACTAAGGGCCCCAGGAGGGCTCCAAGAAGGCCCCAAGAGGGCCCTAAGAGTGGCCCAAAGAGACCCCAAGAAGGCCCCCAAAGCGCACCCTTCGC